ATCAGTTTTAACAACCATTCTTGTATTGTTGGTAGTGTCTGGGTTTTCCAAAATTGTGCATACAGAAGTCTTGCTGCGCCCAATTCACACCTTCTGACCCACATTTTGGCCCTTCCATTCATAACGAAACCCCCACCTTCACTTTTCTGTGTGCATTCCTCAGTTCCACTTCACAAGATCAGGCTATCTTCATTGAGATCTATTGCATCTTCCTCCTTTCTTGGTTTCAGACACACACATCTATTTTTTTTCTTTCTTCTTTCATTCATTAATTCCTGCTCTTTGCTGTTTGCCCCTCTTACTTTCCAGCTCGCCATCTTCTGTTAGCCACGGCCATCGCTGGATGGGCTCGTAGAAATGCATAGCGTGAAACACGGCAGTGTGCAATAAAACAGTGCCCAGGCGGAGGCATGCCACAGGCGTTTCTCAAAAATGCCCAGGGGGGAAAAAATACCTTGGTGCTAAAAATAAATGCTGGGCAGTCCCCCAGAGCCCCTTGGAGGTCTTGCACCGAACAAGAAAACTCTGCTCTACAGTTTGTTTTGGTGCTCAGGCAGTGGTCCTGTTGGAGAAGCGAGCAACTTAAATTCATTTTCGCTGTATCCTCAACATCGTTTTGCGCTGCTCTTCGATTCGGGCATTGGAGCCGAGGGGAGAAGAGGCTGGTCAGTTGCTACTGTATAGTATTCCCGTATCCCCATTTTTGCTACCCATCTGTACACTTTCGGTCCCGGTTAAGTCTTCCAGAGAGGGAGTGTGTGGAATTAGCGCAAGAACTTTAAGTCCGCTCGCAAACAAACCGCTGCTTTTGTAGAGTCACGTGACCCGTCCTGGTGCGCTGGGATGCTCCAGCTGTGCCCTTCAGAGGTGCGGGCAGGGGTGTCTGCAGAGTGTGGTCGGAAAAGTCAAGATGGCAGCCACAATGGTGTGATGGAAACTCCATCCATTTTTAATAATAACAATAATGATTTATTGAATTCATATGCTGCCCTACGCTCAACAACTCTGGGCAGCTTACAGTCATTAAAACATTTAAAAACAAAGAACAGTAGCGAAGACACAGGCACACGCGCAAAAACCAGCACACGGCAGAAGAGCGACGATGGCAAAGAAAATAAACCCAGAAAGAAGAGAGCGGGAAGGAAGGAAGGAAGGAAGGAAGGAAGGAAGGAAGGAAGGAAGGAAGGAAGGAAG